TGCAAATACTTAGGCCATCGCTTCGTTGTTTGATGTGTAGCAAATTGTGCAATATTTATTATGTACGCTTAAAAAGAATATTTTTTTTGTTTTTATTCCCATACTACAGTGTCCAAATTGTGTTTGAGTATATCTAATAATTATCTCCAGCATTAAAATTAATATTTCAAAAGAATACGGGAAATGATTATTCTGTGCTGAAGGTCTGTTGTCGGCAACCTGTTATTATTCTTAAATATCGGCTTACGATGTTTTTATGACCATGTTCGGTAATCGTCTATCCCGGTGCGGCAGGTATATACATTTTAGGAAGAATTGCTGGTCCAGTTTAAGGCAAAATAAGTACAATTTCTTAGAAAGGTATTTAAACCCCTTATAGGAACAAAGGCTGCCTGGCAGGCAGGAATCCCCAGAGTGCAACTTTAAATTTTCAGATTTTTGTTGAAATTCATTTTATTTTAATCTCGTTTCACGATTTCTGAGAATATATCACGATAAATTATTCTACCGAGGGTTGTAAAAATATTAATTTTATTGCCCAAGATAATTACACTTAAACATAATCGGCACATTCTAGGGCAAAACGGACCTGCCAAGCCCACCTCGCGTTAGGTCCAACAATGAAAAAGTGAAGGAAAAGATGCTACATTTGTCTGAAAAATAAAGGTATAAAACAGTAACTAATATGCGATTTATGTGAGAGAAATGTATGTATTGAACATTCGATTAGTCGATTACAGAACTAATTTGTGCTAATTGAAAAAATTAATCATTATGTAACACACAATTATTATTTTCTAAAAATAATAACATACCTTAAACAAATATTTTTACTATTAAAATTACTCTTATTTAATAACACAAATACAACCAGCGGGCCTACCGGACCCAGGTTGCTCAGGTGCACAGATAAAATGCATTGCCCCGATACCCAAAAATGTATCTAGGTACTTTATTTAGATACAAGTATCTAGATACTGCCCAACACTGGCAATCTTACATGCTACTTCCGCCAAATCTACACAAACTCTCTCGGTAAAGCACTTCGGAGCTCCCACAGAAGAGGTCACCATGGCATGGGATGGATATTTGGGGCTCACAACGTTAACCAACAACAGCGACGACGAAGACGACACCCAACCTCGATATGGACGACAACCCGTATAACCTAGTTGCTTCGTGTATTTAGATATCTAAGCCAAATAGGCATTCACATACTTAGGTGTTCTGGGTTACTTAATTTTGTAAAAATTTCCCGAATCGACCTTCGCACAGCAATTCAACTCGCTCAAAAACTCTCTTCACCTCCTCATACCGTTACAATTTATTCATCAAAATTTTAATCAGACGTCATCAATTTTCTGGAGGGGATAAACAGATATATTTTAATTAGAAATTTACCAGCGTATGATAAGTTTAAAACGACTGCAATATTTCAAAGCATTTGGTTGTGCAGTTCAGATTTGATCAATGAATCGACACATTCATTATTTTTTAGGGTAACTCAAAAAAAAAAAAATGAATGACTCAATTTATTACATTTTTTTTTCTATATTTCCACATTACTACAGTACGTGATGCCGTGGTTACAATAATTATTGTATATGCGCGGCGATTTCGAAATAAATGCAAAAAAAAATGGAGAATAGCTCACAATAAGGTTATGTCACTCTGTAAAATTCACGGTCCTAAGTGGTAGCAGTGTCTAGAAAAAAATATTGGAAATTAAATATAAATTGTTAGACACGCCGCTGGTGGTGTTTGTTGACATACTTCTTTCAATCAATGGCACAGAATGACTCGGATTAAGAACCAAATAAGTGACTGATAAGAAACGTGCAAAAACACGAAAAGGGCCAGTCATCGTGCAGTCGGAGAAGTTGGTTTGTGGTGATTTTTTCCAATTCAGAGAGTGTCGATATGGTAATTGCTGTGCGCGAACATTTGCATCTCCGAGATCATGGTACGTTCAACCTTAAGCTCACGATCGTCGCCGTGATAGAACAGAAAGAATACTGTAAGCTGAAGAACAAATTTTGGAACGCGACGAAGAAGAGCCCGACATCAGCACTCGCCGACTTGCAGCTGAAGTTGGAGCTTTAAAGTTTGTAATGCATCATACATTAAAAGAACAAGGCCACATCCATGTTCAAAAAGTGCCCGCTAATTGTCCACGTTGTATAATTTACTGCAAACGGTTATTATCGCAATGGCGTGAACGCCCTAACTTTTTAAAGTGCATTTTGTATACAGATGAAGCCGGATTCACTCGCAATGCTGTTTTCAAAGGCCACAACACTCACATTTGGTCCGATGAAAATCTACATGCTCGCGAACAAGTACGATTTGAAGAGACGGTTTTCGTTAAAGGTGTATGGGTTGGCTGAAAGACTTAGTTTGTGGAAATCAACAATATCCAGAAATTATTGAAGAGCTCCAACAAGGAAAGTGGCAGCTGCTACAGTTTGTGGAACTTCCAAAGGTTTTTTACCTATCAACAAACATCTTGCAACCCTCTGAAGCCTGTATTGCTAGTCAAGGACAACATTTTCGACATTTCTTCTAAATAGGTAATAGCAACTATGTTGCTCTTATTTTTGTTCTAAAAATAAATGTAAAATCGTTGTGGCAACGACCAAGCATCCGTCAAAATCGAAAGTCGATCACCATGAAGCATTACTAAAAATCTTTCGCACTGACCTTTAACGATGAATGAATGCATGAATAAACGAATGATAAGTAGCAAAAAGTCGATTTTACTTTTAATTGAAACTGAAAGTGTTTACATCGTTTTTATTCGAATGTTTCTCCACCTCTCTTTACAAGATGGATCAGTGACTTCGTATCGAGGGTGGTTCATGGGGGTTTTGCCCCATTCGATTTTTAATTTGTTTTTCTATATTTCCTCACTATTACGTTACGTAATGTCGTGGTCAAAATTATTGCATGTCATTCGAAATCACCCTGTATTTCAAAATCGTCCTGTATAACTTTTATTTATCAATTTACCGAATCCTTCCAAAATATTATATACCCCTTGTCGTCGAGTGCAGCAAATGGGGCAGGATTGTGTCTTCATCAGCGAAACCGCTTGAATGGGGAAAATGAAGAATTACAGACTAACTAACCGTTTTTAGTGAAGACAGATATGGGGCAATGATTATAAATGTTTGTATATTAAGTTGGTTTTGGGAAATCTGTAGTGGCATTTTTATTAAAAATATGTTTCTTGATATATTCAAAGGATTTTTTAATGAAAAAAGATCTCATTATCTTACGATTTAAGATTTGTGTCTATTGTTTACGGGAGTCTCTTGCAAAATAGATGACTGTTTCATAATATCGCGTTGATTGTCGGCTCTATACTACAGTCTCTTCAAGATTAATTCCTGACAATAATAAACCAAAGTTCAAGCCTTTAGTCGAAAAATATAATTCCTTATTTGCAATGTTTGCCACGATTTATTTTGAACGACGTTGATGACCTTCAAACCTGAATTGTTTTCAATAAACGGACAGCAGAAGTAACATATGCAAAACCTAATTTCCATAACTAACAACCTCCTGTGAAAACCACACCACTCTTGGTATTCCATCTTAGAGTTTGGAATATCCAAGGACTGTATGTAAACTTCTTATATAATCGATGAAAATAAAATTGCCAATTCCAAATTTACTGAAATTGACAGTAAAATGTAGTAAATTATATTCTAGGGAACAATTGAAGGCCAACAAACGAACAAAAAATAGCATAATCTTTTAAAATAAATATTTGTAATGTAACAAATTTGTAATATATGTATGAGGGACATTTTCCTTAAAGCTAAAAACACAGACTTTTCTAATTTAAACAAAAAGAATTATCTTTTCAAAATTGAACAACTTAGTTTATAGTGTCTTTTAACACCGACTTTATTGCAAACATTCTCTACGCTCTATTTAATTTATTTCTCACGTCGATAGTCTAATTGTAAAGTTATTTTATTCCATTTTAGAATCATAATTTTGTTCATAAACACCCAAATGCGGGACATAAATTGGCATTTATGACACAAATCACTCAAAAATTCCTAAGTAACAATTGATTATTCATTTACATTAATTAATTGTTCAAACTAGTTTCGATGTTCAACATTTTTATTAAATTGGGAAAATAATATTTCATCAAATCATTCCCTGGCCGACTTCAAATTCTTCTAAAATTTCTTTTGAATAAACGCTATGTATTAAAGTTCGCATCAACACACTTTACACAATTTTGCTGGAAATACTCAATATTTGGTTAAAAATATTTTAGAAACTAAAATAAAAATGAAAAGTCTTCCTTCGTCGGGCTAACATTCCCTCGTGCCATAATCTCCCTAATTATGCCCTTATTTAAGTTAAATTACTATTGATCATCCCAAGCAAAACAAAGCAAGACGGTTTTTGGTGCTACGATTACTACGATAGTATTTTTCCCGTTCACAAGTGGAGAAAGCACATTGTTTCGTTCTTGTTTAATTCAAAGAAAAATATATTGATTACTAACTTTGTTTCAAAAAAAACTACTGCTCCATTGTCTTGAGTCAAAATCTCTTTTAACGATACGTTTTTAAAAACCCTTATATTGCTTCAACTTGAAGTATTAAAAATATTGTGGGAAAACCAAACACCACATTATGAATTATGACGTTTTCTATTTCTCGTAAACATTGCTTAAGTTGTTGAACCTGTACTAATTTTGTCACGTTACTAAAATTATTTGAAAAAATATATACTTTAAAATTAGCAACTAACACGTTTTCATAAAAAAATAACTTATTAACTATAAATACTATTGGTAATTTATTAAATAAGAAAAATATGCACGATTTGTTCATATCGCAGTGTTGATGTGCTCTACTTTCGTTTTTAATTTTAAAATTAATTTGTATGTAAAACACAATTCATTTTCTACAAAAAATATTAAAACCTACACATGCGCAAAAATTGTTTATAGCATCAGTGATGTCTGTCTCCTTACTACCAGTTCCATGACTGGTTATGCAGATTGTGATAAGCAGTGGTTGAGATGTGTTTGTTGCACTTTTACAACATTGACTACATAGTTTAATATACAAAAGGTAAAACAATTTATTTTTTTAAATGTGTCCAAAATACAACTAAAATAAAATCCTCAAATTACAGAAATTACCGTTTGCAATAAATTTCATTTGGTTATTTATTTACTTTGTAAAAGCTTGCATTTTGTTCAGATAAAAGTGAATATTTCAAACGGAGGTAACCAAGCATACAGTTTTTATTCTGGGCAGAGCGAAAATTGTTATATTTCAAGCGCGACGATTTTTTTATATTATGTTATATAAATGCTTATATTAAGTTTTTCATTCAAAGACGTCTAGCAAAACACATGTGTATATACCTTGTGGCTCAGGGTAAAATCATTTCAATGAACACTATGAAATAAAATTAGAAAAAAAAATGTAGTCATTACTCAGCATTCAGACACACACGTCAAAACTACTTCCTTTAAATTAGTGCAGAAAAAAAAAATCATTTTAGGGCACAAGGAACACTAAATATGATTCCTGACATGTAGATGTAAAAGTCAATGACAAATTAAACAAAAGAACTAAAACGCGTTAAATGCAATTTTAAAACTTTCGTTTTTGTTTGTCCAGTTATCAAAGCGAATCGCTAAATGGTCCTTTGTTCGGTGCATTGTAGGCACTGATCCTGTTTCAGGATTAGAATCTGGCACTCTTATCTGGTGGTCGCCGGAGGCTTACGTCCTGCTGGAAACATGGAAGAGGGATTTAGTTAATTTACGAACTTTTTGTGGTTAACACAAATGTGTTTTTCGCTATCTCCGCTTCGATTCTCCCATAAAAAGGCCCAATTTAATCCCCTCCGCTGAAACGAAAGAGCTATTTAGTACTTTGCATAATTTGTCAGGGTTTACTGCCAACTGAAAATACATCAGTGGTGATTTTTTAATAAATATACACTAATTTTTAATGAGTAAAATTTGGAAATTCGTTCCGACAATATTTTCATGTGGCAAAGATGATAATAACAGTCATTAATTAGTTCAAATTTTTTTGACTCTCGAGCTTGAGGAAGCTAAACGCAATCTAATTTTTTGTGACAATATACTTAATAGAATAATTTTTAAAAGAAACCGGTTTACTGTAAAACAGCAATTAGTTTGAAGATTCTTTGTAAACGAAATCTTAATTTTTTCAAATGAAGTTATCCATTTTTATATTTGAGAACACATTTTTCATTTCTTTTTACCCACTTTGATGAAGCATTGTTTTGCTCCACAGTCTAGACTAAACAACATCATTAACAACAAAATGTTTATGTTACAAGAATAAACAAAATTTACTGCATTTTTAGTTTAAGTCAAAAAAACGATATTGAATTTAAAACAAAAGCTAAAATATTTAACCGAAAACTTTACATGTGCTATCTGAAAAGCGGCAAGTTGAGGAATTTGACTCTTGGTGATAAAAATCAGACATGTAAGACAAATTATCTTTAATCTTAATGCTGACGTATGTTTTGCTTAATTCACTCACAGAGTAAAAGTCTAAAATTATACAATTTGTCAAACACTGTGATAACATAAAAATACCTTGCACACAGTTCGTATCATAAAATAAAAGTATGCATAAAATGCAATAATAAACAAGAATTCTATAAATATCAGATCGCGTACTTAAATCACCACTTATAGATTGCTGACACAGCACAAATAGATTTAAAAAATGTTTATCTTTCATCTCCAAAAATATTGATAAATGTAAGTGTTTATTAGGAACTACACATTTCCTTGTATCCAAGTATCTGTCAAACGTTTCCACAGTCACTATGAAGTTAAAGAACATACTATTAAGCTTTTTGGTTCAAGTTACGTTAAGGTGAATATAACATCGAAAGGTCTAATAGTCTTACTCGCATCATGAATTTGCAGCACAACGTTTAGCGAACCCATAAACAAAAAATTCCCAAAAAACTTCATTTGGGGCACCGCCACAGCATCCTATCAAGTTGAAGGTGGATGGCAAGACGATGGTAAAGGCGAAAGCAATTGGGATCACTTCACCCACACTTATCCAGATCACATAGCTAATGGAGACAACGGAGACATAGCTTGTGATTCTTACCACAAATACTTAGAAGACGTCGAGTTGCTTAAAGACTTAGGAGCCAATTTTTATCGTTTCTCTTTATCTTGGTCTAGGATTTTGCCAACAGGTAATGCTGACGAAGTCAACCAAGCCGGTGTCGACTACTACAAAAACCTAATCAGTGCTCTAAAATCAAACGGGATCGAACCTTTTGTTACTTTGTTCCATTGGGATCTTCCTCAGGCCCTGGAAGATCAAGGAGGATGGCCAAACACTGATCTTTTGGTAGAAAAATTCGCTGACTATGCTCGACTAGCTTTTAGTCTTTTTGGAGACGATGTCAAGAATTGGATGACGTTTAATGAAGCTAAACAAACTTGTCAACTGGGCTATGGGTATGGAGTTTTTGCTCCAGGTATTAATTCCGATGGAATTGATAGCTACAAATGTGCGCATACCGTACTTAAATCGCACGCCAGAGCATATCACATTTACGATGAAGAATTTAGACCAACGCAGAATGGTCGAGTATCAATGGTGGTTGATACGGACTGGTTTGAACCTGCCAGTGATAGTGACCAAGATAAGGAAGCAGCTGAAAGAAAAATTCAGTTTAACGTATGTTTCATTTTATATAATCTTGTTATATAAAAGCAACTGTTTATTCTAGTTTGGCTGGTACGCAAATGCAATTTACCACCCTGACGGCAACTATCCACAAGTAATGATCGATCGCATTGCGGAACGAAGTCAAAGAGAAGGTTTTGAACAGTCTAGATTGCCTGCCTTTACCCCTGAAGAAGTCGACTACATTAAGGGAACTTATGACTTCTTTGCACTTAATACATACACAACCACCATGGTTCAATGGAGCGATGATTGGGAAATTGGTACACCTGGTTATGACGCAGACATTAGTGTTACAACATGGCAAGATTCCTCTTGGAATAGTTCTGCGTCTGGTTGGCTGAAGGTTGTTCCCTGGGGCACAAGAAAACTCTTAAATTGGATCGATCAAACTTACAATCACCCTGAAATTGTCATCACAGAAAATGGTTTTTCTGATCACGGAGAATTGGAAGATGGTGGCAGAGTTAATTATTATTCGGTAAGAAATTTTAATAAAATGAAGCACGACTGTTTTAAACTATTTGAATGTTGTAGGAATACTTGAGCAATATTCTTCAAGCTATTCTTGATGATGGTGTCAATGTGACTGGTTATACAGCGTGGAGTCTTATGGACAATTTTGAATGGCTGAGTGGATATACGTAAGTTTAGGAAAAGTAATTGTCTGGGTTGTTCATGTTTTACTTTTTAGAGAAAAATTTGGACTACATCAAGTTGACTTCGACAATCCCGATAGACCCAGAACTGCCAAGAGTTCAGCAGAATATTATAAAAAAGTTATTTCTACAAGATGTCTAGTGGATGTATGCGAGGACTGATAATATTTAAAACATAGATGTGCCATGTCGCGTTAAAATGTACACAGTTAAAAAAAAAACACGAAATAAACCATATGAGCATTAAAGTGATTAAACTATTTCCTCTTTTGTTTAACCCAGTAACCTAGACTTAGAATTAAATACATTATTACTAAATTCTAATTCAGCTGAAGGCTGACCATATTGATATGTAGTGTACCAGTTGAACAGTGACTGCGAAGAAAGAAGTATATGTATATGGGTACATATTTTAATAAAAAAAAAACCTTTAAGTTTCAAAAAATGGCTTTTTCATGTTACTTTTATAAAGTTTTATTTGTTTTTGATACATCATAGAAACATCTGTTAATAGTAATAATAAGCAATACACTCATATTCAACAGCTCATCACCCTGTAACAGTAGTACTGTACACTCTGTATTCTCGACCTCATCGGGTTTTGAGTTTTATCGTCTTGCTTTGTTTCTTTTTTCTTGCTTAGAAGAATGTTAGCATTCTTATAAATTCCTGATCGAGATTTATTAACAGTATCTACGATAGTTTTGTACTGTTGTTTAAAGCGTTTCCAAATAGTCATACATACATTTTAATAATCAGTTAAACGTATAGGTAAGTAAAGTATTAATGAAGTAATAAACTTAGTTAACATTTATAAGATATTTGTTGGTTCCAATTGTTTTTCGATAACAATTTGTAAACACCCGTACAGAATAATATCATTGTTGAGTATTTAATACCGCTGTTGACAGATGCTTTCTGGAGACATTCATCTAGAAAAAAACTCTTTCCAGAATAATAAGCAAATTCATAATTTTATAGTCATTTGTTCTTACACACGGAACTTTTGGCTGTAACTGATACTTTACGGATATAAAACTTTATCCACTCTTTTTATGGTTAGTGGATTAATAGATAAGTGTGCACCTGAATAAATGCAGAGTTTATGCGTTTTATGATGGAATTGTTGATAAACATAGAGCCAAAATAAAGATCAACCATCATCAGTGTCAGTTTTCAAAACTAGATGTAATAGAAATTCTATTCAGTTGGTTCTTCTTAAGTTTATTCATAAACACAATCATCAAAACTCGTTGAGGGGAATTTCTTATAGGCAACGAAATTTTAATCACCTAAGAACGACTTTCAAAAGTAATATTGTTTAGTTACTAAGGCCAAAAATAGCCAAATTAATTACCAAGAGATTACAAATCAATGCCTTAAATCTGATACTATCAACACAATACACGGGAAAATATTTTTGACAGGTACATCTTGTATTAAATTGAGTACCATTATAAGTGGTGTTTTGACATGTCGAGCACTTTCTTGTTTTTTATCTGATTTTAAAGTTAATATCATTAAAATTACTGAAATAATACAATTAAAATTCAAGTATTCAAACGTGCAGGTTCCTAAATACAGTTAAGATATAATATTTTACTTAAAAAGTCCTCAAGCAGTTTCATATGTGTCAAATTAGTTACAATAATTTCTTAAGTATTCAGAGAAACGTAACAACATTATAATCACTAATTTTATCTGATAAGTAATAAAAGTGTTTATAAAGGACAACTGAACAACAATTCCAACATTATATTTTGCAAAATGAAAGTCACAATATTCTTCGTTGCAGTCTTTTTATTGGGGTAAGGAAAATAATGAATATTTTGGAAAAACAAACTTACTAAATAAGTAATACTTTCAGCGAATCCCGCAGTGAACCGTCCAATAAAAAATTTCCTGAAAATTTCCAATTCGGAGTTGCCACTGCTGCATATCAAGTAGAAGGAGGATGGGCAGACGATGGTAAAGGTGAAAATATTTGGGATCACTATACGCACCAACCTGACCACGTCGCTAACAATGCTACTGGAGACGTCGCTTGCGATTCGTATCACAAATACATGGACGATGTTGAAATGCTCACAAATTTGGGTGTTAACTATTACAGATTTTCGTTATCCTGGTCAAGAATTTTACCCACAGGATATAGCAATGAAATAAACGAGGCAGGTGTCACATACTATAAAAGTTTTATTAGTGCTTTAAAAGAAAACGGAATTGAACCTTTCGTCACTCTTTACCATTGGGATCTTCCTCAACCTCTACAAGAAATCGGAGGGTGGCCAAATCCTCTTCTTGAGGATATTTTTGCTGAATATGCTAGAACGGCATTTACTTTATTTGGTGATGATGTGAAGAACTGGATGACGTTCAATGAACCCAAACAAACTTGCTTAGCTGGATATGGGTTAGGAAGTGCAGCTCCTGGAATTTCTGCAAGTGGGATTGGGGAGTACGAATGCGCATATACAGTAGTTAAAGCTCATGCTAAAGCCTACCATATATACGACGAAGAATTTAGACCAACACAGAATGGAAGAGTATCTATTGTTCTAGACGCTTCATGGGCCGAACCTGCTAGTGATAGTGATGAAGACAAGGAAGCTGCCGAAAGACTTTTGCAATTTGATGTGACTATTTAATGTATTTTCGACTGTTTCCTTAAGTTCTAATTTTAGCATGGTTTGTATGCCCATCCAATATATCACCCAGATGGTAATTTCCCTCAAGTGATGATCGATCGCATTGCTGATAGGAGCGAAAAAGAAGGTTTCCCTACATCCCGTTTACCTGAGTTATCAACAGAGGAAATAGAGTACATACGTGGGACTTTTGACTTCTTGTGTCTCAATAGTTATACTACTAATATGGTAAAATGGACTAATGATTACGAAATCGGTGCTCCTGGATATTATTCAGATCTTAGTGTTTCAACCTATCAGGATCCTTCATGGAATAATTCAGCCTCTGGATGGCTGAAAGTTGTTCCATGGGGAATGAGGAAGCTTCTCAACTGGGTTGATCAGACTTACAATCATCCAGAAATTGTTATTACTGAAAATGGATTTTCTGATGATGGACGACTGGATGATCCGGACAGAATAAACTATTATGCTGTAAGTCGTTAAAAGTAGGACAAAGCATTGAAATAAAATAACTACTTTTAGGAGTATCTAACTAGTGTTCTGGAAGCTATATTTGAAGATGGTGTTAATGTTACAGGATATACAGCTTGGAGTCTGATGGATAATTTTGAATGGAACAGCGGATATACGTAAGAATTCATTAATTTTTTTGCAGTAATACCAATTAAAAATTTTCTAGGGAGAAATTTGGTATATATCAAGTTGATTTTGAAGATCCAGACAGAACAAGAACTATCAAAAGTTCTGGCGAATATTATAAAAGTATAGTCGCCAATAAATGTTTAGTAGATACATGTGAAGAATGAGGAAGCTTAGAAAAACTATGGATTTGTGAAACTATTAAAAAATTTGATGAATATATAATAAAAACATCTTAAATTTTTTATTTTATTAAATACTTAGTTGACCGTAACGTACAGTAACTTCATGTGATTCAACCTTAATTTTACAGCTCAGGGTTATAAAAAGTAATGACGGCCCTGTAGAAACATGTGCAACATTCTAATTCCAGATTTGAATCTCAAATTGAATTACGTGGTCATGTTGATTCCAATATACATTCATTCTCGAATTCCATTGTATTAACTATGCTGCGTTCAATTCCTATGTAATCATTTCATTAATATCCTCGGAATTTCTCATTAGTCATCTTTGCCACTGCATAATTTTTGAAGTGATGTATTTTTTTTTTTTTTTGAAAAGGTGCGCTCTCAAGAAAGGCCTCTCAAGAATCGTCAGCAATAATTGATTTTTAAGGGTTTTAACCTAGTGAGTGAAAAGTTCAGACGTGTTTAATACGGCTGACTCTTGCTCCAAGTGTAAAATGAAGTGCACGACCTGCTATATTAGTTATTACCAGGCCTGTTCATTTGTAGTGAATTTCATTGTTTTTTTAATCTCCGAGAAATGCCAATTTTTTCCCACATCGTCGCCACTCAATGTCAAATGCTCAAATGGACATAACTTTCACAAACTCGTCAGATGAGGTTAATAACATGTCACTAGTGTGAGTTTTAATATCAGAAAATGTTTAAAAATATACCATTACCTAAAATTATTGTAAGTCGTAACGTAAGTATTCAAATTCAAATTAAATTTGCCGCTTCCCAACCTGACATATGTTCCTAGTTCCTATGTTCCTTTTGTTTGTACTATATCATTTGGCAAACTGTTGTTCGTGTTTTCGTTCCACGTGCCTCATATAACTAAGAGAAGCGCGCTAGGGCGCGCTCCTGGGCCTCCTAACTTCTTTTGCTAGGGCTTGAAATTGGGTTCTGTGGCTTGGAGCTTCAATGCAAATGTATGGTGTATTTCACCATTCCAGATTATTTGCAAAAGAACATTCTGACTGTCACTCTTGACGGGGCTGGCTCCTTTGGTACTAGGAAACTGGGGCTGCTAAGCGCTATCTCCGTCAAGGGGATGTGAGAGGAGCAGTATGATCCTCCGGTACAGTTATAGGGACGACATTCTTTATGGAACAATGATGCGAACACACAGCCTCTCTTGCTCAATGTCAACTCCCACCTTTACGAGGTACAGGCTGTTTTTAGTGACGGGAGCGAGTTGAGAATCTGGGACCGGGTACTTCTGCCACATTGGTCCCGGCTGGTGACAGGCTTTAGGGCGGTTAAGGAACTGAGTAAGCCCACGGCATGCGCGGGCGGGGGGATGTTCGCATCCGATCCCGCCATGGAGTGTCACCGACAGGCCGCGGGGAAAACGGCAGGTTAACCTCAGCGTCAGTCCCGCCTTACTACCCACGGGCCTAGGGAGAGCCTCTTGAACAGGCCCGGGCCAGGTGTGGAGCAACACGAGCTCCCACGACTGGTTACCGGGTCCACGGTGTGTTAGTCCTTCGAACTGGATAGGCAGGTTGTGAGTTAGAATTAGCCATATGGGAGGCGAGAGGACGTTTGACATTCCAGGGAGAGCTGGGAGTATTGGTTCGTACTAGCCGCCTGTTTCGGCAGGTCACAGATGCGAAGCTTACAAAGATTCGAGACAGTACTGGCCCGATTCACCAGTACCTGTCGAACTAAGGAGCGGGATGCACCGCTTCGTGAAAAAGTCCGACCCGTGACGGAACGCGAAAGGAGCTGTGCGGGTAGTAAGTTGTTTAGAACGAGTCAACTCAGCAGTTGGGGAGCCTGGCGGATACCTCTAATTGACTCGGCTTTTTCATTCAAATACTTCAAAAGGCTTGCGGGTCGAAATTTATTTCGTACCACATCAAGTCAACCAACCCCATCTCCAATAGGTACAAACTGGGTAGCTACTAGCAACGCGCCTCAGACCAGGTTGGGTAGTGGCCCAAACGCCCACCCCAGCAAGGTAACGGGACAACGGCGAGGGTTTACCAGTACCTATCTGATGGACTAATAAAGCGTGGTACCTCGAGGCGGCCCTCCAAGCCCCACCGGGGACAGCCGTCCCCCCGTGTCGACCCGCATTGGGGTACGACTCGAGGGGGTAGTGAAAAGCTTCTTGATGAAGGATCGCCCTTAGGGGCAGCTTATTGACTTATCTAAGTTCGAATGTTATCATTTGGGAGGAGCACTTATAGCCAAGCTAGGTTTCCAAGCGAAAAAATATATCTTGATTGGCCTGTTAAAGAAGTTGAAGTAATAGCAGTTAAAGTATCATTTTGTAATAACTAATTGCAGGTGATTTTAATATTAGTGATCTTCAGAGTTACTATATTTCCAATAAAATGTCATTGTTATGCTCGTCTTTCATTAGCTTTCTCAATTACAGCTCATTACATCAACACAACCAGATTTTAAACGTTAATGACAGAATTTTGGATGTTGTTGGATGTATGATTGTCATTCATACATACGTACCGAAAAAGATTGATATAAATGAAACACAAACATGTGCTGTGTAACACTGTATTTACTTGTTGTTAACGGTTCGGAGTCTATGTACAAAGTTGTTAAAATCGGAAGCGATACATTGCTGGTAGAAGAGAAAGTTGGGGACGCTTGTTGACAAGGGTTGCGGTTGGTAGGTAAAACCGAAACCCGAACATGGTCCGGCGCCTTGAAAGAACTAACTTTCAACATGACGAAGTATAACAATTACAAATATGAAATACATAATATGTGTCTACATGACAGGTGCATACATTGACAATGAAATAGAGTACAGAACACATAGAAAAAAAGGGGTAAATTTAGACACTGCACATTTGTTTATGTCGGAAGCACACACAGCTTAGTCACTTGCAGGTTAATCACATCATGCGCGGTTCTCACTGTCACTACGCGAATGGGGGCATGTAGACCGGGATGAACAGTAATAACGCGTCCCAGTGGTCCATATAAGCGGGGGTGTGTGGTTTTCCTTAACGACCACCAAATCGTCGACCTTATGCTGTTGGGCGATGATGAAGTTGACCCATATGTTCTGCTGTCCAGCGTTTCCAAAATTGCTGCTGAGTGCGGCTGAATTGTTGCCACCTGGAGAGCCGGTTCGTTGAGACCGTGGTGACGTTATCCTCTGGAATAACAGTTAGAGGGGTACCAACGAGGAAATGACCGGGAGTTAAAGGAGTTAGGTCATATAGATCTTTGGACATGGCGGTTAACGGGTACGAATTCAAACACGTTTCGACTTGTATTTGCAACGTCTGCATTTCTTGCAAATTAAATAAAAATATACCAGTAACGCGCTTCAACTGACTTTTCGCAGATTTGACCATTGCTTCCCCGATAGTCCCCATATGTGGTGCGGAAGGCGGAATGAAATGAAAATTGATGTGGTTAGTTGTCAAATCATTCAGCAAATTTGTATTCGAAGCCCGTTTGGCTAAAGTGACACGTGCTTGGTAAAGCACGGGATCATCCCACCACAAATTTTTTCGTATCGTCTTTCTTCGGGATGAATTAAAATTTGACGGTACATCTTGCAAATGTCCGCTGTAAAGGCAAACCTATACGTTCTAAATCCAATTATTAAATCAAAAATGTCGTTTTGTACTTTTGGCCCTGTACTGAGACAAGCATTTATGCTTTTTCCGAATGATGGTTTGGCTGAGCCGTCAAATACTACGCGAATCTTATCAGTGACCCCGTCATTTTTGAAAACCGCGTGGTGAGGCAAGAGGTAATAGGGTTCACTTTCGATTCTATGCTCTGTCAATGGACCTAGTAAACGCATATGACCCAAATTAATGTATTCTTTCATAAAATCGTGATAATTTATTTTTAACATGACATTTTTTGCGAACTTTCGTTCCAATGTGTTGAACCGTTTGAGCGCGATTTCTGTCGGATTCCCCAAGTTTGGTAAAAATTTGTTAAATGTTAATCTGACTTGAAATCGTCCGTTGGATAATTGAGTGGCATTGTTAATAAAATAGTTCTCATGTTGTATTTCAAGAGCTGTGAGCGGCTTATCATCGTTTGAATAACTTTCAAGTTTCCAGAACTTTTCAACCTGGTTTTCTAAATTGACATTATTGACCGCGCAATGTAGATTTTGACGAGTGTTACTGGTGGGGCATCCATGCAATGGCCCTCCTACAATCCAACCTAATAAAGTTTTTTGTAATATTAAGCCATGTCCTACCGTTTGAATTTGACCTACACATAACAGTTGCCAAAATAATCCAGCTCCGATTAACAGATCGATTGGCTGTGACAAATTGAAATTAGGATCGGCAAGTTTTACCGCTTCAGGTATGTCCAGCTCATCTTTAGAAAAGGTACGGACAGGTATGTTTTTCGAAATTTTTGGGATTACCACACAATTTAAGCTCTTGTAAATGAGTAATGCAACGACTCGATCTGTACCTGAACCTTTTGTCTAGCGGTCGTATTTGAACACTGAATACCTGCTACGACCACATTTGCATTTTCTGTACTTAAACCCAATTTGTTAGTGGCGGCTTCAGTAATAAAATGCGATTCTGAACCCACGTCTAACAAAGCCCGGAATTTTTGAAATTTGTTTTTACAATCCATTATTAGAATTATTGCTGTAGACAAAACGGCTTGTGGAAAAAGGGCGGATGAGCAATAAACTCCGCTGGTACTAGGCTGGTTTTCGTTTGAAAGGGAGGGTTGGTCACTATCTAAAAGTGTATTATGTTTCAATTGGCATAATTTACATGACATAGATTTACAGCTATCGGACGTATGCGATGGTTTGAGACAATTTTGACATAATTTCAACCTATCTACCTGAGACCTTCTTTCCGAAACACTGAGTTTTGAAAAGGTAACACAGTTGTGAATTAAATGAGATTTTTTACAAAAATAACAAGTGGATTGTGTACTATTGCGATTTACTGCCGCTGTAAATGTAGACACCTTTTGTGTTTTAAATGTATTATAAAAAGGTAGCCATTCAGTATAAATTCCGTT